CAGCCACACATGGTCCAGGTGAGAGAAGCTGCTGCAGAGATGCTGAATGGAGCAGTTTCCATGGCAACCAGGCAGGGAACCCCTGAGCTCTGGGGCTGGAGAGCAGCACAGGGTGAGAAGTGACAGCTCTGCATGGCCCTGGGAATGCCTAAGCTGGAAATGCAAGGCATTTTTCTCCATCCCAACTAGCACAGCAACCTCTTTTCCTCCTCAGCCCCTCCCAAAGCTGCTGCTCTGAAGCAGAACAGCAGCAACACTCCCCAAAGCTCTGATTTCCAGCACGTGTCCTGCCCTCCCAGCTGAAGCTGCTCCAGGAAGACAAAGGATGCATTAAAAGGAATTTTGCATAAAGCTGCAAGACAAGATCCTTGCTCAAACCCCACGTGTCACAGGTGGAAAGAGCCAGAGGAACCCCCATCAGGCTGAGGCGAAGAGACTTCAGACAGCAGGTTAGGAGGGGCTGAGAGGGAGGGCAATGCTGACACTCAGAGGCAGCAGTGGCACCTCCCTGGGAAGGCAGAACAGCCTGGTTCGGGGGAAGTGCCTTGGAATCTCCACCTAAGAGGCTCTCAAATTAGCATGCACAAGGCTGGGGAGGCATTTAGTATTCTGAAAGCATCAGCCTGGTACAAACCTCTTTGCTGCTGCAGCTGCCACAGCCCCAGCAGTGCTACAGCTCAGGGTGGGGAGAGCTTTTCCTCCCTGGAGAGCACCCAGGATAAAGGAAGAGCTTTAAGCATTAGCCCAGTTGCTCTCAGCATAGGCCCAATTGCTTCCAGTCACACCCAATTGGACCCCACTTATCCCAAGTATAGGCCCAGTTGCTTCCAGTAACACCCGGGATGATCCCAGTCACACCCAGAGTGATTCCAGTTGCTTCCAGCACGATCCCAGCTGGACACAGCCACTCCCAGTCCCTCCCAGTGTGGCCTGCAGTGCTCCCAGAACAGAGCTGTGCTCAGGCTGCATGAGGGACTGGGGGCTAGGACACCCCCAAGGCCAATCCTTATCCAGCTCTTGAAATAAACCAAATTCCTTGAAACAAAGCCAATTTTCTCTCCCAGCTCTTTGCACACCAAGTGCTGCTTCCCAGCCCTGAGCTCCCCAAAACTCCCTGGGGGGGGGAAATCAAACATCCACTCGTGTGTGGCAAGAAATATTTATTTGGGCTTTGGCCACAGAAATTTTGTAAGCCGAAGGACAGAACTAACAGGTTTTCAAGTCAGGGAAAAGGCACTGAGGATCAAAGCTGGAAGAGAGTTGGGCAAACTGGGATTTGTCTCCACAAGGAAACACAACTGGTTTTTAGGAGAGCTCAGCCCTCTCCAGCCTAACCTGTTCCAAACATACACAGGCCTAGAAACCCACTCTGGTTACTCTTGGATGATCAAACAAGGGAATCCTCTCCTGGGGCTCTTCTCCTGTGCAGAAACTGCCTGATCATCCAGGAAAACAGGTCTCTGCTATCCCCCTGGATAACACAGGCAGCCTGAGCCAGGGCAGACACCACAGGCAGGAATATCACTTAGATGTAGAGTTATTCCAAGAAGAGCTCAAGATCAGCCATACAACACAATCATCTCCCCACGTGTTCCAGGAATTTTCTTCTTGGAAAACTAACTCTGGGCTCTGGCACAGCTAGAGGCTGAGCTCATGTTGTCACAGTATTTTTAGACTCTGGCTCAGGGGAGAATCTGTTGAGCTAAACAAGTGTGAGTGGCAAGCACAGCCCTTGGAAGGGAAACAGCAGGGACTGAATGAAGGGGGAGAGACACAGGAGCTTTATTTCCTGTCAGGTCACCAGGAATACAAGTCTGGCCTCTCCTGGGCTGGAGGAAACATCTTCTTGAAAGACATTCTCCAGGAGACTGATCCAACCTGCTAGGAATGGCCCCAACCAGCAGCATTGGGCAGGGGAAGGAATTCCTCCCTGGGAGGTGCTGAGGCACTGGCACAGCTTGTCCAGAGAAGCTGTGGCTGCTCCATCCCTGGAAGTGTTCAAGGATGGGGCCTGGAGCACCCTGGGCTAGTGGAAGGTGTCCCTGCCCATGGCAGGGGGTGGGACTAGATGATTTTAGGTCCCTTCCAACCCAAACCATTCCATGATGGTTCATCAAACTGCCCCTTCTCCCACCACAGATTTCAGGTCAGAAGTGCCCACATTAAAGCACATTAGGTCCCAGTATTCCCAAAGCAGCAGCATCAGGCCAGTCCAAGCCAATCCAGCCAGGCCCAGGTTGTCACTGCTCCTCTGTCACCTTCTTCCTGTTCCTCCGTTCCATCTTCCTCTGCAGCTTCTTTTTTTGCTGCAGCTGCTGCTTCCTCTGCAGCTTCTGCTGCATCTTCTCCTTGCACTCCTTGTTCTTCCTCTTGATCTTGGCTAGCTCTGCCTTCCTTTTGGCCTCCAGATCTGGATCCTGCAATGGCAAGTGGCAGGACAGTGGTGACATGCCCAGGGCAGCTCCAGCCCCTTGGCCCTTCCTAGGTAAGTGAGGAGGCTGCAGGAGTCAGACCCTGCTCCAATGTGTGTTTTGTTATCAGTGACCCTTAAAACAAACTTCCCCCACCCCACAGCAGTGAGGAGGGAACTCCTCTCCCTTTTCCACAGGCATTACACCAGCTCAAAGCAGTTTACAGAGCAGCAACTCCCACCTTCCCTTCAAGGATCATCTGTTTCCGCTTATTGATTTCTTTCTTCTCATCAAAATCTGTTCCCTCCAGCCCCTGGCAAAGGGAAAATACAGCAAACCAGTCAGTAACCAACAGAGGGAAGAGCAGCACAGCTCTACAGTGTGAGCAGGACCTCAGTGTGCAGCACATTTGGTGGCTGCAGAGCCACAAGGACCAACCTCAGCACTCAGCAGCAAAAAGATGCTGCAAAAATGGGCAATAATAGAGCAAACTGAGGGAAAATAACCACATCAGCTCTCCACACACACATCCAAGTGTTTCTGCATGCATTTCCCAGCCAAAGGAGCTCCATGTCTGCACACTTACTATTTCACACTCCCTCCTGGTGACGTTCACTTGGGTGAGGATGTCCAGCACGAGCTTCTCCTCCACTGAGAACTCCTTCAGCTTCAGCTCTAAACCAGGGGGAGACATTCAGAGATCTTTAGGCTGATTACAAAATCCACATCCTCAATTAGCACAAAACCCAGTAAGCTCCTCTAATTATGACTGGAATTGTTGCCAAGACCACTCTGACTTCTTCAGCCCACAATGGATTAAATCCTCCCCTCTGCCTACACAATGTGCTGCATTTATTTGGTCTAATTCCCTCCAAAATAGGAAATCTGAACCTGAAGTAGCCTCTTCTTTTTGTCCACATTGGCAGGAGGTAAGGAAGAAGCTCTTTGCTTTAACAAAGAGCTTACAGAGAGTTCCACACAATTTCTCCAGGAAGATAAACTCCCTCATGTCTGACACACTCAGGGACCGAATCAGAGGATTAAATCCTCCTGCTCTTTTCCAAACCTTTGCTACACAGGGAAGGGAACCATTCTTCTCCCCTGGATGTGGTGAAACCAGGGCTGGAAGGAGCAGCAGGGAGGAAGAGCAGCATGGGCAGGGCACTCACTGATCTCCTCCTCGATGGCGTGCACGAGGTGGATGTCGTACTGCGTCACCAGGGTGATGGCAATTCCCTTCCGCCCTGAAGATGGGAACACAGAGAGAGCTGAACCCTGACAGGCAGAGGGACATGACCATAACCCATTCCACTTCCATCCATCCCTGTGGCTCAGCCTGTGGCACCCTGAGGTGCTCAGAGAGCTCTTTGTTTGCTCTGAAGGTTGTGGCAGCTCCTGCCGCAGCTCGGTGAGATCCATCACTCAGGCAGGATTCCAGTGATCCCCATGGATCTGGCACTGCCTGGGAAGCCTGCAGAGCTGCTCCTGGTCCCCTGCAAGGCCCAGCCCCTCACTGGATCCCAGTCACACCCAGCAGGCAGCAGTGGCTCTCCCCCTCACCCGCTCGTGCCGTCCGGCCCACGCGGTGGATGTAAATCTTGGGCAGCCCAGGGGTGTTGTGGTTGATGACAACTTGGACTGTAGGAATGTCCTCTGGAACGGAACGCAGGGCAAGAGAGCAGGGATTGACAAACAGTTTTACAGGATCCTAGAATTACAGAATCATGGAATGGTTTTGGTTGGAAGGACCTTAAAGCTCATCTCAATCCCTCCTTGCCACAGGCAAGGACACCTCCCACCAGCCCAGGGCTATCTGTAGTTTAACTCCTGTTCTTTGCTCTTTCCAACAGTTCCATATTCCCATAAATAGTCTAACTGTAGGACAAAGTCTCCTCACACAACTCTCCAGGAGTCACATAATCCCCTGTCACCTGATGGCTGCTCCCTCCTGGACCCTGGGACACACTGAGCCTTCACACCTTCCTCCTGCTACAACACCTGAGCAGAGCTAGACCCACACAGAGGCTGCAAACACAGCTCAAGGAGGTTGTGAACAACCCTGGGTGGGGATTTAAGGGTCTCCTCTGGCTCATCTCAGCCTAACCCCTGTGGTGGTTCAATCCAGGGTGAGGCCTGTGGTAGCAGAGCTTAGTCTTACCTGGCAGCAACATCAGTGGCAATGAGAATCTTGAAGATGCTGGACTTGAACTTGGCCAAAGCTGCAAATCGTTGTCTCTGTGAGGAGGAAGTGTGTGTGAGGGATCCATGGGATGGGATTCATGCAGGCCCAGGACTCCCCTGGCTCAGACATGCAGCTGGGAGCAAACACCTACCTCCCTGCTCTGTGCAGCACTCACCTGCTTCATCATGGAATGCAGAGCTACAGAAGGGAAGTTGTATTTCCTCAGCATCATGTTCAGGACTTGGCAGTCCCTTAAGGAAGAAAAGCAGGCAAATAATCAGGATGTGGCAGGGAATTGGATCAGGACAGAGCTGGGAGGTAGGTAGGTACTGGAACACTCAGAGAGGTGAGAAGCAGGATACACACTCACTCCAGAGAGTGTGACTGAATTCCCATGTGCACTCAGGGAATGGCACCAGCTCCAGGACACCTCCCACCAGCCCAGGGTGCTCCCAGCCCCATCCAACCTGGCCTGGAATACTCCCAGGGCTGGAGCAGGCACAGCTGCTCTGGGCAACCTGTGCCAGTGCCAAATGTAAAGGCACATGGAAGAAACCCCAAGGAACAACAACTCCACTCACTTGCAGGTTTTAGTGAAGATAATTATGGACCAATCTTCATGCTCATCCTGGAATTTCTGGATCAGGTGGACCAGGTAAGCATCTTTCACTGCTTCAGGCACAAGCAGGTAACGCTGGTCCAGTTCCTCCACTGTCCGAACCCTGTTGAGGGAGGAAGGACCAAGTGATCACAGAGTAGAGGCTGTTCCCTGTGATCAGAACCTGATCCCACCTGGCTGCACCTCCTGTCAGGGAGCTGGAGAGAGCAAAATGCTCCCCTGAGCCTCCTTTTCTCCACGCTGAGCTCCCCCAGCTCCCTCAGAAGTTCTCCATACCCTTTTCCTCGTGTTCCAGACCCTTTCCCAGCTCCACTCCCATCTCTGGACCTAAGAGTCCTAAGAGGCCCAGAACTGACACAAGTTACCCAGGAGTGAACACAGCACTTGAGGTGCCTCAGCTGTGCCAGGACAGAGACAGGACACAAGGGAGAGGAGAGACAGCAAAATGGGAATGAGATTCCTTGGGACTCACTCAGATACAGCCTCCCAGAAGAAAGGCCTGTTGGCAGCCAGGCCCCTCAGCTCCTTCAGGGTGTCTGTGAGGGTGGCACTGAAGAGCAGAGTCTGCCTGCGAGCAGGGACAGCCTCCAGGATCACCTCCAGGTCGGCAGTGAAGTCAGCACAGCCTTGTTCCAGCAGCCTGTCAGCCTCATCCAGCACCTGGGGACAGCCACACGCTGACTCCAGCTGCACACACGGCTGGAAATCTTCCCAGGGGGTTAAAAACCCCTCTGGGCCTTACCAGGAACTTCAGCTTCTTGAGGCTGAAGGTGTTGGAGCTGCGCAGATGATCCGCGAGTCGTCCTGGGGTCGCGATGACCACGTGGGGCTTCCTTGACAGCTCCAGGGCCTGAGCCACCATGTCTGCAAGGACAACCTCAGGGAGTGACAGGGAAAGGGCATGGAGCCTCCAGTCACTCAGGCTGCAAAGCTGGAGGGTGTCCCTCTCCTAACCCCCATCAGTAAGCACTGCCTTGGAAGTTGGATAGGAGCTCTTGGAGAAGGAGCTCGGGGTGAAGGAACAAACCAGGTTGGTTTGTTGAGGTGGAGAAGAGGAGAATGAAGGGAGACCTCGGGGATTTGCTGCTTCCTCATGAGAGGAAGTGGAGGGGCAGCACTGATCTCTCTCTGGGACCAGTGACAAACCCAAGGGAACAGCTGGAGCTGTGTCAGGGAATGGATGGTGTTTGGGATGGATATTAGGAGAGGTGTTTGGGCACTGAATCAGGGTTAGGTTTGGTATCAGGGCAAGGTTCTTCCCCCAGAGATGTTTGGGCACTGAACAGCTCCCCAAGGCAGTGGTCACATTCCCAAGCCTGACAGAGCTCCGGGAGTGTTTGGACAACACTCTCAGGCAGTGTGGACTGTTGGGGTATCTGTGCAGGGTCAGGGGTTGGATCAATGATCTTTGGGGTCTCTCCCAACTCAGAATAGGTGTTGGACAACACTCTCAGGCAGTGTGGACTGTTGGGTTATCTGTGCAGGGTCAGGGGTTGGATCAATGATCTTTGGGGTCTCTCCCAACTCAGAATATTCCACAACTCCATGGAATAAAACCTCCCCAGGTGCTCTCTGTTGCCCAACAGGCTCAGGAAGGAGCTGAAGCCCCAGCAGCACTCACCAAGACCTCCCACCACCACACAGTCCTTCAGGCCAAGAGGCTTCCCCAGCACTCGGAACTGCTCCGCGATCTGGTACGCCAATTCCCTGTGGGAGACACAGCTCAGACCTGCTCAGGGCCCCCCAGGGCCCCCCCAGAGTCACTCTATACCTGGTGGGAGTCAGCACGAGGCAGAAGATGCCGTAGGGATCCTCGGAGAGCACCTGCAGCACAGGCAGCACAAAGGCTGCTGTCTTCCCACTGCCTGTCTTGGCACAGCCCATGCAGTCCCGGCCTGGGAGGGAGGGAAGAGGGAGGGTCAGGAGCTGTTCCCGGGGGTGGGACCATTCCTGGGGATGGGATGGCATGGACAGAGGCTGTGAGTGGCTGTTCCCAGGGGTGGGGTGGGATGGGGGCCATG